AGAAACCTCAACACCCTGGAGTCCCTAAGTTACTCACACCAGCTAGTCCTACACCTGTACCCACCTTCCCTCTCCTCCCACACAAGCCAGGCCTCATTGGCTCCCTCTGTCTCCCAACCAGCCCTGGATGACCATCCCTGTGCCCCCACATTTTAATGTGGGTGCCCACCTTGGGGTCTATGAATCTAATGCTGCTCTTCAATGCCACTTGTCCCCATCTGTGGGCCTTGCCACACCTGGGTAATAACAAAATCTACCTTTTACAACAGCAATTTGGGATAACAAATACAAGGGACAACATGGTTTTATAACTCACATCCTGTTCTTAAGCATTTCTAAGCCTTCCACACTGTGTCCCAGTAGGCTTGGAAAGATGGAGAAAAGCACACCCAGGAAAGCAAATTCCCCAAGGTCAAGGTCACACAGGCTGTTTGGATGAAGACAGGCAGCACCCTCACTGACCACGGATTGGCCAGAGGTCCCGTAGGCTAAGAACAAAATACTGAAGGACCTTGAGTTCCCATTTGTGATGCTTCCCAGGGGCAGGCTCCTTGTTGGAGTCACTTCCAGTGAGTTTGGCTGAGGAAGTGAGTGGTATGGCTCAGCTCTTCTACCCTCCTCTTGGTAGCCAAGCAGCCTCCAATAAAGCCGATATTTATTCTGCTCCTTCCTGCTGTAACCTCAACCCATACCAGCTGTTCCCCAGCTGTGCTTCTGTCCTGGGATTCAGTGTTAGGAAGCTGGTCCCCCTCTAGCCCACTCTGTATTCTGAGAGTAAACAGGAACTTCTGATATGTGGGTTATAATACATGCCTGGTAGATTGCTTCTGATGAGGAAATTGGGCAAAATGTGTGAAATCTCACACACTGCAGACACTTTCAAGTTTCATTCCTTTTCATTCCTGCTTCTTTCCCCTTTCTCCTTTATTAGATCAGTAGCTTTCTTCCCCCAGTTGCTCCAGCCCCAGGCCTTTGGCCTCTCCCAGGAAGCACAGCCAGGGATTTGGGGAACCAGGAGCTCCAGGAAGTTCTTTGCAGGAGACTTTGTCTGGCTCTGCTCTGTCTGAAGCGCAGAGAAAGTGAGTTTTGCAGGCAGGCAGGAGAGGGAGGAGGCAGGCTCTGGGAGCTGAGGCTTGGGGAAGGTCAGGGTCCATCACCCCTGCTTTGCAGCCTGGTGACCATGTGAGTTTGGAAGGGAGCTTCCGTGAGTGCACAGGAAGTGGTGGCACCGCAGGGGGTAGAAGCTACAGCCCAGGTGGCAGCAGAACAGCTTGTCCCCAGCACACTCAGGTATAGTGCCTCTGTGAGGTGACCATGGTTTCTCAGAGCCTAATGACAGTGACAAGCAGGAGCCCAGGGGTGGGGTCCACAGAGCAGGAAAACAACCACAGAAACACAAGAAGCATCTGTGTGCCCAAGGCAGCCGCTGGCAGGAGGTCATGGTGGAAACCAGCGGGAGTTTGAGAGCCATGGGAGGGAAGCCTGGAGGAGCTGAGTTACTGGGATCCTGGCTGTGCATGCTGGCAGGAAACTCCAGAGCACAGTGTGTCCATCAGCAGACACTTTGCAAACGCTCACAGGGCAGCCAGGCCCTTGCCAGGGGCTGGGAGCAAGGATGCCCAGCCATGCAGTGTGAGGTTAGAAACACAGCCCTCCCGAGCTTTACAGCACCCCTGTACCTTCCCATGGCATCTGAGATGCCAGGCATCAGATTCACCTTCTAATGCATACATCGCCCTTGCTGCCTCGTGGCCAATATCCAGGGTCACCTTCCATTCTTCGGGAGGTGGCATCTTAAAACATCTGTTACTTAGCTTGTGTTTTTTGATTGTTTGTTTTTTCTTCTAAGTGGTTCATGGAAGTGTGAGATTTCCAAACATTACCTACCAGTACTCTCTCGCTGTTTTGTAGAGGTGCCATGAAAAAAACCATTCTTCCAAAAGTTAAAACAATAAAATCAACACAAATACAAGAAAAGACCCATGTTTGAATAAGAAACCAGCCAGTTTTGTGTGAGTTTAATCTGGCTTTAAGTGCATAGAATTAGATTAATCGTAAACCATGATTCTGACACATACTCTTTATTGGTAATTTAAAAATAAGTTAAACTTGGAACTTATTTATTTAATAATATTTCTCTAGCCAATATTTCTGGAACTTATTTACTTAATAGTATTTTTCTAAGATTCATCTATATTACTGCATGAAGTTTATTATTGTAGTTTACTTATCTGACCGCTATAAAAATTCCACTGTGCTCTTGTACTTCTGTTTAGACACCCACTCCCTTGCCTTGGGTTATTTGGGATGCGCCCATTCTGCACTGTACTCTTCATTTTGGAAATTTCCAGACCTAGACAGAAGTAGAGGGAATGGTAGAGGAAACCTGCTGTAGCCATCATCAGGGTCAACAATTACCAACATGTGCCCAACCGTATGTCATCGCTTCTCCACCCAACAGCACTGAATAATTTCCAAGAAAATCTCTCATATCAACCCTTAAATAGTTCACTATGCCTCTTAGGAAAATAACACCTCTTTTGTTCTTAAATATAACCATCCCAATATCATACTTATTCCTTAATATGACGATAAATCCACTACTTAAAACTGCCCAAATGTCACATACTTTTCCTACAGCGTGACCTACACCTCCGGACCAGAGCAAGGAAAGAAGTACGTTGCCCCCTGCAGTCGACTTGGAGTCTGGGAAGTCCTGGGGGTCTTCTGGCTGCAGTTTCTCTTCCGGGTCACTGGGGGAGGGGATGAGAGGGCTTCTTCCCAGAAAGGCATGCAGCTCACGGATGCAAAGCGCACAGGCACAGCAGTTGCTGTTAGATGAGCTCGTCTATTCTTTCCATTTCCAACCCATTCCCCCTCTTTTTATGGGCAAATTCCTGGCTAGGTGCCCCAAGGCCTCAGCCTCTTCTTCTTAACTTTTCGTCATCAAGCTCTTAGAAAGGGGAGAGAAAAGGTAGGGAAAACAATAGTGGGGAAAAGTAAAAGTGAAGTTTGAAGACTGCCACCAGCTTCACTGGGCTAAACCAGGGGGTTGGAAGTCTTTCTTTATAAAGAGGTAGGTAGTAAATATTTTAGGTTTTGCTGTCTCAGCCACTGTTTCTTCAGAGAGCAAGAAAAGCCAAAGACAATAATGCATAAATAAGCAGGTGTGGCTGGGTTCTAATCACAAGTAATTGACAGAAAGAGGGAAAACTGGATTTGGGCCACACCTGGGGTCCATTCACACTCGGTCTGAATAATTTCCACTCATATCTATTCCTCCTATGTCTCAATTATTAAATAGCTTAGTTAAAAATTAAAAGATGAAAATATACAATATAAAAATATAAACTATAGCTAAATAGTAAAAGTAGTTACTGCTATCACCCCCATTATTGCAGATGAGAATACTGACGTATTGTGAGATTAAAGGATTTGTCCAGGACCTCATGGCAGCACTTAAAGATGAACCCAAGAAATCTGTCTTCAGAGTCCTTATTTCTAACTTCCTTGCTTGTCTCATGCAATGCTAGATATTGTTGTAGCTATCGTATTACACAAAACAACATCCCCTCACCATTATAAATATGTGTCTTGCAACCCCTGTGATTATAACTGATAATAGCTGCAGGATAGTAAGTTTTACTAAATTATCTCATATATCTACTCATTTTCTTTTACTGGGTTTTTCCTAAGACAAATTCCTAGGAGTAGCCCTAGCAGGCTTCTCTTTAACCCTTGTCTGGGAGAACACTGATCTTGGCACCGGCCACTGTCTCTGAGACATTCCCACGGTGGCTGACGTCTAAGTTACCAACATGGCATCCCTGGACAGAGATGAAAGGCAGCACATTCTTGGCACCTGCAAGGAGGCGCAAGTTGGCCTAGGTCCCGCTCGACTGGTCTGATCCATATTTCCTTTTTCCTTCCTGGTACCAAATTGTAAGTGGAATTGTAGGGTGTGTGTTAGTGCTTCCTATCAGCCTTGGTCACCCCTTGCACACTTAAGCTCTGTAGCTCTAAACTGTTCTAACTGTACCAGGTTATTACTGAAACTATTTTTCTTCCATGTCCTTCACCCTTAGTGGGACACTTCACCATTTCCTGAAACCTTCCCTTCAAAGGGTTGCTACCTCAAGGTGGGCCCCAGTGGACAGCCAGTTACACCCCGGGAAGAATCCATCAGCAGACACGGAACCTGCTGGGACGTTGATCTGGGGCTCCCAGATATGTGAAACCAATTGATGTTGTTTGTCAGCCACCCGATGTGTGCTGTTTGAGACAGCAGCCCAAAAAGACAGAGAGAAGCCCTTCTTAAAACTTGAAATAACCTTATATGTTAGAATTGTTCATCCCTGGAGCATGATCTAATTTCCTTCACATTTTATTTGTATTACTTTACTATGCAGAAATTGAAACATAGAGAAGCCCATCAGTCTTTACTGTTGCAGGTCTTTTATTGGGGGAATGTGGACAGCTCATGCTATTTCTGTCTCCTCTACAGATTCTCATCACATGCCTGCTTCCCCGGGTGGGGAATGCATCTCTGCCCTCCTGGGTCCTCTTTCAGGTGAAGAGTGCAGAAAACAAACCAGCCAACATGTGGGAAAGGGGCGGGCTACAAAAGCTCTGGTGGCATAAAGCAAGGTGCAGGGACAGAGAGGAACAGAAGAAGCCTGTGCCTGAGTAGCCTCTGAGAATGTCAGCTTTGGACCCAGGGCTAACTAGATAGAATATGGACCACGTGAAGTTTTCTACCATTCCATTTTGTTTCATTACTCCCTCTGGAATTGTTGTCAGTATGTGATATAAAAAGTGTCTGGTTATATTTTTCCAGTGGGTACAATTATCTCAGTGCCCATTTTTCTCTTCATTTTCAGAAGTGTTGTTAGGAAGTTGAGTCTAGCATCCTAACTCTACTTCAACTGCTACTTTTTGTACCAACTTTCCCACAGAATTCATCAATTCTTGCTGATTCTTCTGCTTTCACGTTTCTAACTCCGCTTTTCCAGAATCAAAATGGACTTCTTCCTTCCTGAAGGCAAACCATGCCTTAACCATCTGTCTCTCTCATGTCTCCGACAGAGCCTGACCAAATTGACTTTCGGTGCATTTTTGTTCTGAATGAATAGACGAGTTTCAAAACCCACTTGGTGGTTTCCACTCTTACTCAGGTTGAAGGGCACCTCATTCGTTCTTCTAAATAGGTCACAGGTACAGAGAGCTGCTCATACCCACTGTGTACATTTGCTTCTGTCATTGATTTTCAGGAAAAAAAAAAAAAGTAAAGATGACTGCGGTCCTTCACTGCAAACGAAGGGGCTTCGTTAAACAAGGAGAAATGCCAACGTCTGTGAGAAAAACACCCACTTCCATCAGAAAGGACAGGGATCGAGTTCATATCATTTCATCTCTTTTATTTTTCTGGGATAGGATGGAAGTCTTGGAAGCTGGTGTTGAGCATGGTCAGACCGTAGGCTTTTCCGGCTCTGCGTTTGTAGTGCTGGTGCATGCAGATGGCCCCCAAAACCAAGAAGACCAGCAACAGGGGCGCCAGGGCAACTCCCCAGGAGAATGTGGAAGGAGCTGTGGGGAGAACAGAGGTACATCAGTGTGAAGAGAGCACATTGAAAACAGGACCCAGCAGCACAGGCTCACAAAGAAGGAAGGAGCCGGTTTGGTTTTGTCCCAGTAAATGTGCATCGACTTCAGACAGTGTGTGCCTTACAGCAAGATCGAGGATGTTTGAGAATGGCATCTGTGGCATTAGAGAACAAGGAAGGTAGGACACCATCTGTCAGCAAGGACGTGACAAAGTGGGACAGGTGCCCAGGGACTCACTGTACGAAAAGCATGCTGTTAAGACATCATTCGCAGCAGTAGGCCATCTGTGACACAGCCCAGGAGCAAGCCGGCCTTTTCCAAAGAGCATGGTTATCATCAGGGTTAAATAAAGAAACTGAGAAATAGAAAACAAACTTGCAATCAGTGATCAATGATTATTGCTTGGGTCCAGTTATTGTGTATTCTAGTTGTAGGCATCTCGCTGTTTTAGAATAAAGGAAGAGACTTTGAATAAACCTATAATCCCAGATCTTGGGAAGCTGAGGCAAGAGGATTGCTTCAAGTTAGAGGGCAGCCTGGGCCACATAGCAAGTTCAAGGCCAGCCTGAACCATATAGTGAGACCTGGTCTCAGAAAAAGCAAAAAATAAATAAGCAAATAAAAGCAAATACAAGAACGGGGTGTTATTAGATATATTGTTGATGAGACCAGAATCCCCCATTTTCAACCATGATTTGCCATAGTCTGTCCAGAATCTCAGCACATTTCCCCAGCAGATCCTTACAATTTACAATCCCACAGGGATCAGAAATAAAGGGGGCTCCAGTTTTCTGAGCCGCCATCTGAATATGCCTCTCGATCCCAGTGAAAATGCAGCAGCACTAAGGGAGATCAGCCACAGCTGCCCATGAAGGACAAGCTCTGGGACCAGATGAAGCACCAGCTCCTCCGTCTCCATGATCGGATCCCCCCCTCATTTGCATCTGTGCCAGCCTGTGCATTGCAGATTGGACAGGAAGCAGGCCCTGGTCCTTGCACTTGAGTGTGAAGCAGGTTGGGAGCAGGGAGAACTGAGTTCGGGGAGCTGGGCAAGGCTGGCGTGGGTCAGTGGGACTCTTGTGGTACACAGAGCACAGCAGGAGAAAAGTGGTGCCACATGTGATTTCCTGCCCAGAGGCCTGGCCAAAGCATCAGCTTCCGGCTAAAGTGCAGTGGCAGCTGCCTCCCTAGCAAACCCTGGGGACAGGACAGCTGGTGCTCGGCCACAAATCTTCTCAGCAGCAACACAGGTTCCTGCTGCAGATCTCTGTGGCTTGTGGGCCCTGCCTTTCAGGCTGTTAGCAGAGACTGCATCACCTGCTCCTCCCTTTCCTGCTCCAAATTTAAGCATGGAAAAGAAATCAATTTGGTCCAAGAAGTTTTGTTTTTCTTCTTTAAGTGTCGTTAATGGACACTGTGTTGACTGAATATCCTTGCACTCATTTCCTGTTGTCTAATGCTCTTGGACTTCAAGCTGCACTGAAGCCTGCCATCTCCTAGCCCCTGACTCGCAGGATGGAGTATTTCAACTTCAAGATAAAGAACAATCCACCCTCTTTAAGAGGCCACACAAGGACAGCTGATGATCGTGATCTAAGCCAGCACCATGAATGGATAGAGGCTATTTAAAAGGTCACTGCATACCCATTTTATGTGCTTCCAAAACACCAGCTTGCAATTTTTTTTTTTTGTCTAATTTCCCAATGCTCAATCTCTACCTTACCAAAAAATATTTTAAAAATCTGGACAACCCAGGAGGCTTGCTTCAGGTGGTCCACTAATAGGATAACAAGGAGAATCACATGCAGAACCCAGAGCTTCCTTTCACACCACAGAAGCTTCCAGACCCTTCCCCCTGAGCACCTCCCAGACACATACCTTCTTTGACCGTGGTACGCAGTGTCTGCAAACCCAGAGTAGTAGAGACAATGCATTTAAAATCCGTGTTCAAATCCTCCCTTATGACTGGATTAAAATTCAGCGGCACTTCAATGAAGTTCTCACCATTTTCTGAGTATTCCCTGAGTGAGAAAACATTTGCAGAACCGTGATATACCAAATGCAAGGTTATTATTAACAGCAGCCTCCAGCGAGACGCACTCCTGGTTCTTACACTGACTTCACGTTTCCTGACATCAGAAGAGTCTTTCCATCCTTACTTATTTGGGAGAGTTTCCAAGCCTGCCCTGAAGTCACAGTGTCACTGAAGATGCAGGCCACTGCAATAGGACTCGGACTGCTGTGAGAACTTGCATACTCATTTTGGTTTAGAAGATGGAAATTTTCATATTTTAAGGCCTTTGATGCACAAAGATCCAGCCATGGGAACAGAAACATCTAGTGTGGGGAAAGTTGACTCTCTCATCAGTGGATTATTCACAGATTGAAGAGTGGGGAGTTTCCAGGACTCCAGCCCTCAACTGCATCTCCTCCTCCTCTCTGCTGCTTACTCTCACTCCAGCAAGGGAGAGCCCAGAGGGCAGGGGAACGGCAGCCATTTGCAATGTTTGGAGAGCTAAAGGGCCCAGGCTGTTGTATTCGCATATGAATGAAAACACCCTGGAGTGGTCCCCACTAGGACTACTCTGCTCTGGCTGAGGGGATGAAGCTTGTTCCTTTAGCAAATGAACAGATGAGTTAGCAAACGGCCAACGTGGGGGGCTCGGCTGAGGCCAAGTCTTTCACAACAAGGACTTGCATGGGAAGGATTGTGCTAACCACAGATCACTTCTATCCACAGCAATGAGTCCAGAAAGGACATTTTCGATCAGTCTTTCAAAACAGACCAGCAAAAGTTCAGACTCATTCAAAGTATGGAAACTATAATTTTAAAAATGCTTTCTGATTTGGAACACTGAATGGTCTCCCTTCCTCAGACACAATTGTACGACGTCTGCTTGCTCTAGTTTCAGACTGACAAAATAGTTTCTAGAGATGAGTGCTCAAGAGAACTCAATTCCTTCTTTCTTTAATTATTAATCTTCCTTAGACACTCTGGAAGCCCCTGGTTCCCTACCAAAGGTGAGTGGGAGAGGCTTTGTACAGATTCAGGCGCCAGATCGCAGAATTCTCTTGAGTTTTCTGAATATGTTTGAGGGCAGAGGGAGAAATGGAAATGTACTAACTCCAGAATACTTTTTAAACCTGCAAAAATCAAGAAGTAAATGTTTAAACAGCTACAAAATGTGATGTCTATACCAACTAGTCCACCACAACTTAACTCATATACAAGGAGTGATCAAAATATACAGTGAATATTTGAATTTTTTTTTTTTAATGTATTACAGAACCAGGTGTGGTGGCACATGCCTGTAATCCCAGCACTCGGGAGGCTGAGGCAGGAGGTTTGCCATGAGTTTGAGACCAGCCTGGGCTACACTGTGAGTTCCAAAGCAGTCTGAACTACATAGTGAAACCCTGTCTCAAAAAACCAAAAAAAAAAAAGTATTACAGTAAAAGATTCATTGCTATTAATCTTACTCAAAATACTCCTTGCTTCAAACACAGTTATCCCATTATTCTTGCCACTTCCCAAAGCAGTTCTGGAAATCTCCTTCCATGTCTGTACGAGATGTGACCAAAAAGAAGGTGAATACTGCTGCCCAGCGCCATCCAATGGAAAAGCAGCCTCATAAAAACACTGCAGTGTGTCCTCATCCACCTCATTCACCTGATCTGACACCATGTGACTTCTGGCTCCTCCCCAAAATCAGAATGACCAGGAAAGGGAAACATTTTGAATGGATTCAGGGTATTAAGGCAGCCAGGACAGCACAACTAAAGACATTCAAGAGAGAGGACTCCAGAGCTGCTGCAAAAAGTAGCAAGAACAGTGGGGTAAGTGCACACAGCATAGTTTTTTTTTATCATATCTCATAGGTCTAGAGGAAGTTTGACTCTTAAGCTAATTTTTTTAACACAATTCAATTTTTTAAAACTCTGAAAATGCAACAGTCTGGTATCCGAGAAAGACTTCCTTTCACTGTTGTGAGGCTGTCACACTGATGAAGAGCCATGACACCATCTCCGGAAGGAACAACGACCCCCTGGAGAGGCCTGACAGCTGAAGACCCTCAGCCACTCACCGGCGCGGCCCCTCAGTCACACGTCCCCTGGAGTAGGCACTCTCTACTTGGGTGATGTTTGCCATCCACCACAGTGAGGTGGCCAAGGGTGTGCCAGCCCCCAGAGACACCTTACACGGGATCGTCAGTCTCGAGCCTGTGCAGAACAAAACACAGGCGTCAGCCAGCAGACCCCAACACTGGAAGAGGGGCCACCCCATCTCCTCAAACACCCCTCACTGCCCAGCTCTTCTCTTAGAAAGAAACTTCCTGTCCCCAAACCATTCTGTTCATGCAGAGCTTTGTTATTTACCAAGTGCCACCCAGTCAAGTGCCACCCTCCGATGGCTCTTCACAGCAGGGGACACCGGAAGTACATGAAATCCAGTGGGTCCACCAAGGCCACTCCACCCCTCTGGGCATCCTGAATTCAAGGGCTGCTGTCTTCCACACCGATTCCAGCTGCTTCGAATGATCCAGATTAATGTGCAATTTTATCTTTGTTCCTTTTGCTGGTCTCAGCCCTAACATTAATTCCCCTGGAAAGTCTCATTCCAAGGTGTCTCTCATTTAGGATTAGCCATTCTGTTATTTTTTTTTTTTAAAACAAGGACATGGTATGTAGCTCAGGCTGGCTTCATATTCATGATGATCCTCCCGCCTCAGCCTCCCAAGGAGCCGGTATCATGGGCATGTGTCATTTTGCTCTCTAACCCATCAAAGCAGAGGACAGGGGAAAAGAACAAATCTTGCCCACCCATTTCTTCTCCTGGAAATAACCCTTCTGCTGGTGGATGCACCTGGCCTCCTTCAGGCTCCAAATACCATCTCTCCTCCACGCTCTGGCACCTCGGTAACCTTGTGCACCTCCCTTGGTGGGATACGGGAGACACCATCCAGTGTCTTCACTGCCCAGGCTTCAAGTGTCGCTCTCATAGCTACAGTGCACAGAAGCCACCTTCTCTCTGGCCTCCCACTGACATTTAAAATTTAGCTGGACGTGGTGGCACACACCTGTGATCCCAGCACTGAGGAGGCTGAGGCAGAAGGATCATGGTAAGCTCAAAGCCGTCCTGGGCTGTCTTAAAAAAGAAAAAAAAAAGGAGGGGGGAAACTGGCTCATGATTTTCATCTTGCTCTCCAGCCAGCTGGCAACAATTTTGATACCAAGAAACTATCTCTGGTCACTACTGGCTAAACTTTACAAATGGAACTTTAGAAAGACCCTGAGCCTTCAACAAGGTTTGGTAACATGAATTATTTCAACCATACTGAAGGTGCTGGCTATGATTGGATCTGTGCTGCTGATTCTGTCCTACAGTTAGTAACTCTGCCAGACATCCCTCGGGTTACACTTGGACTTCTGTAGATAGGGTCTGCATGAAATCAAGTGTTCTTGCTTCCGAATAAAGCTGTTTCTAACAAATTTGTGAAGAGCATCCTTTTGAGTTTGTCATCTCAGCTCCACACGCTGGGGTTCTCAGGTCTCTTCCCAGGCACACTGCAGGGGGAGGGGGGCGCAGACTGTGTGATCAGCAGACACCCGAGCTCCCAGGCCCAGCCTGGGGGAAGCCATCAGGGGACACCGGTTGCACAGTCTCCCAGGCCTCACCCAGAGATGCAGATATGGTGTCCAGGGGAGAAATAACCACAGGAACGGTGTTGGTTCTTCCTGAGGAAGAGGTAAGGAAAGAGATTCCATTAGGGAACTTGCCTTGTTTCAAGGGGAGATTCAGGCCCATTGTTCGGCTAATTAACTAAGTTATCCTTTGCCCCGCCTTTGTTTGGCAAAGGAAACTGGCTTTCCACAAAACTGAGACTGGGGCCGTACTTTTCCCAGCAGAGAGGTTCCTGGCAGAGGCCAGCGGCACGGTCCTCTGCCGGGCCCTCCTCGTCCTGGCCCTGTACTAAACAGTAAGCCGTTCCCCTCCCGGGGACTCATGGGGTAGGTTCTACCTAGAGGCCTCTGCCACACCTCCAAAACGCCACCACTGAAACTGAAGGGTCACTGCGTGTGAGGTGGATCCCACACTGGGTGACGAGCACAGGACCCAGTAGGGCTGAGAACACCTTGGGCATCGAGGAGATAAACTGATCCAGAGGTGGAGCTCAGGGGATTAGAGCCAGCCGCAGTGAAGTGGGGACCAAAAGTTGAGCCTACAGAACAGCTGGCACGGTGCTGTCCCACAGTTGGCCTCCTCCTGAGGAACATTTTGAGGTCCTCACGTGGGCAAGCATTCTGCACCATGACACCCACCCCGAGGAGCCAGGGCCTTCTCAGCTGTACCCTAAGGCTTTTCCTCCCCCTCAAAGGCATGTGGCTGCCACATGGGGGCTGAGGTGACCAGGGAGAGCAGATGATCTACAGGACTGGATGCCTCTGTGGCTCTCACATTTGGGGTGCAGCAGCACCAGCTGGGCGAGGGCCTGTCAGACATGGACTGCAGCCCCCGTGTCCCAGTATCCAGTGCAGCAGGTCTGTAGCAGACCTGAGATGCCACACCTCTGCTTCCAGGAACCCGCTTTCAGAACCACTGAGCTGCAGGATCACTGTGTAATACGTAGGTCGGCCTCCCCCTAGCGTTCCTGTGTGGTACTGCACAGACAGGGTAGGAAGGGGCCGACTTCAAGGACGAGAAGTCTCAAAGATTTGCCTTGCGAGGCAACAAGAAGTAGTAAGAACAAATTTTCATAGGAAAATTAAAAAGTGCAATCTAGGGGCATCCACAAATGTAAGGTGTGATGTTCCTTAAACTGAATCTCTGGGTTCTCTTTAAGAGGTCTTTCCTCTCATGTACCAATTATTTAATCTTAACTAGGTTTATAAATCATCTCTCTGAAGTCCCCTCAAAAGACTCCGACTGTGTTAGTTTCCGGTGTGTAGGGAACGTGCAGAGTGCCGAGCTCACACGCATCCTTGCCTGCGCACCGAGCCCCGGGGCCAGCACACAACAGTAGACAGTAAATGGAGAACAAATGCTTAATATCGGTGAACCCTTTTCACACGGCATTTTTAAGTACAATCAATCCTGGTACAAGTTGAGCATCCCTAATCGAACTTGGGACCTTGCGCTTGCGAGGCAGGCGGCGGCACCACTAAGCTAAATCTCCAGCCCAATGCTCAACTTTTTGAATGCTGACATTATACCACAAGTGGAAAATCTCACATCATGGAACTGTGCTTCACACACAGATTTTAAACGTTGTATAAAATCACCTCCAGGCTACTGTATAAGGTGTGTATGAAGCAGGAGAGTTGATTTCATGTTTAGACTTGTATCTAATCCTCGAGATTCTAAACTCTGAAATAAAATCCAAATCCCAAAATACTTCTGGTCCTAGGCTTTTCAGATAAGGAATATTCAACCTGTGTCAAGGGCAACGGGACACATTTCAGAGAAAACAAAAATCAGGCCAATTTCTACTGAAAATTATCCCAGTGGAAAACTTTAATCAGGTCCCTGGGTCCTAGAATTATTCACAGAGTTATATCTTCTGGTTCTGATCCACCCCTTCTGGGACCTTACAAGAAAGCCGCTGTTTGGCTCCCTCTAGTGGTAAGTCTTAGCCTCCACCTCAGAACCTATCACTTGTCCAAGGACTCATTCAACTTTCCCCCAGCCATACCCCGATGTATACCTTACAAAGTGCCAGCCCCAGGTCTCATGACATCAGAAGGGTTAATTGCCTTCAAAACAAATCCATTCAAGGAATTCTCTGTGAACTTAACTTGCTCTTAGAAGGCTCTTTACTGAACTGAGGGTGGGCGTCTCTGGCAGGTACTCACTGTGAACTCGGAGTTTGACGTTCCTGGTGATGTTGTATTCTCTGCCCTCCCGGGCAAAGGTCAGCACGCACCTGTAGTAGCCCTCATCTTCCATGGACACGTTGACTATGAGCAAGCGCCTTTTCTCCTCCACAGAGTGAAACTTCCCACCATCTCCACCCAGGAGGACAGAACCCTGAAGGAAAATGTATTCTCAAGTTGTATTATTACAGCCGGGCGTGGTGGCGCACACCTGTAATCCCAGCACTCGGGAGGCTGAGGCAGGAGGATCGCTGTGAGTTCGAGACCAGCCTGGGCTACATAGTGAGTTCCAAGTCAGTCTCGACTACATAGTGAGACCCTGCCTCAAAAAAAAAAAAAAAAAGTTGTAT